TTGAGTCTATTATCAAGGTGGATTACTAGGAATTTTCCCTCTGTGAGTTTTGTGATAGGTGATCCATTTATCATTATTTAAGGGGACACATCTGCAGCTCTGTACCAAATTGAATGTAGTAGGTTTTGTCAATGTTTAGAGTAAGTTTGTTGGTCCTCATCCAGGTAGATATTTTCTGTAATTCGGTATTTACAGTATTGGCTAGCGTGACTGGGCTCGGGTGAGAGAAGACGTATGTAGTGTCATCTGCAAATAGTGTGGGTTTGAGTAATTGCGAAGCATTTGGTAGGTCATTTATGTATATGAGAAAGAGAAGAGGGCCTAGGACACTTCCCTGTGGGACACCAACTGTAATTGGCTGTGCGGAAGAGTTTGCCCCATTTGTGTACACATATTGGCTTCTGCTGCTGAGGTATGACTTTAGGTAGTTGAGGGAGTGCCCTCTTATACCATAGTGCGACAATTTTATGTGGAGCAAGTCATGGTCAACTGTATCGAAAGCTTTACGTAAGTCAATGAAAATCCCCAGTGGGACTTCTTTTTAGGAAATGCTTCTATAAGACACCTGCTGTCCATATTCACCCATCAATAAAATAGGTACCTGGGTTGTGAAAATTTGTGTGGACTGCCTCCAAGTGAGTCGCCTACCCTGGCAAACTCTGTTGACACCGAGCTCTGAGGTGGGTACCTCAGCCTCACAAGTGGCTTATAGAACAGATTTTCACAAATGATTGGTATTGCAAGAAACTTTGCCTGCATGCACGTATAAAGGACTAACTTACTTGGTGTTGCAGCATATATCCTGATCTTCAACTTCCTAAGCCTAGCTTTAGCCCCTTTGGACTTCCCCTTGGGAACCACGTGCAACCGGGAGCATTAATTCCTGCAATATTCAATCGTTATTAGTGTCCTGCCTGCACCTCAGAAATTCCTATATCCAAGAGGGTATGTATCCCCTAGTAAAACTATGCAGACTCAGACGCTAGCTTCAGACGGCTCTGAGACGCTGGTACTTACTGGGCATGCTCTCTCTCTGTAGCACGCCGAGCCCACAGTAACTCAACCCACAATCTCCTAAGACACTGGCCAGATCCTACGGGAAAAGGTGAATATCTCGTCTTACTGTATGGGCTGATGGAGGAGATCATCTACGGTACATCGAGGTGCCTCTACCAGATTTCCCCAGGTCTCAGATGTGAAGACACGTGGGGGCGCCGCCTGCTGTTCACGGCACGTCTTGTCCAGTCGGTGTCTATCATAAGAAGCACGCTATTCTGTCTTTGTGACCTGCGCCCCGCCATTCAAGCTAGGGCTGCCAGTTCTCCCTAGCTAACTTATCCTAGTGTTTGCCTACATTATCGGCCTATTACTACCTATGTTAAGGTCTTAGGTCTACTCTATCATTATCTACAGATGCCTTAGTAAACCTAATATTAGTGTACTACCAGTAAAACTACCTACTCCTTCCCTGAAGAGTAAATCTATAAATTAAATAAGCTTACCAACCGCCAACCAGAGAATGCCTTGTTTGGGAGGGTTTAAGGGCCGCTCGGCTCAGATGACCAGACGCCCATGCTGGATCTGAGCTGTGGAACTATTTGGACCAAATAAATTTCCACATGGGTGTTAGTCGACTGGTATGAGTCGCATCCTGGGACAAAAGTGACCTAATTTTCCCGAAATACTCTACATAACAAGGGACTTTTTATAAAGTAGTATGTCATTGATGTCATCTAGGACTGTATACCATGTACTTGTAGAAATAAAGATTATTATTATTATTATTATTATTATTATTATTATTAATTGTTATTATTATTATATTATTATTATTATTATTATTATTATTATTATTATTATTATTATTATTATTATTATTATTATTATTATTATTGTTATTATTATTATTTATTACATCGGGAAGTTGGGCGCGAAACTGAGTAAGCTGTTAATGGCCTTTATAAACCCAACAAAAAAGAAGCCGCAGCCCTGATCATTGGGACTTCTGCGCCAGCCTTCGTTCAAATTCAAATTCAAATTCAAATTCAAAGTTTATTCTTTATAAGGATTACAATGCTGAGTTTACAGAATTTGGTTATTGTGTGGTTTACAGGTAGTAAAATAATGATTACAGAGTGTACCACTAGAACACCTAGCATGGCTAGGCATTTCGGGCAGACTTAGTTTAATTCTTAATTTTAAAATATTACAAATTATGAGGTAAGTTGGTATTATGGCTAAGTGACTAAATACTAGTTTGTGAGTTTAGCAATGTGAATGCTTTTGTTTTGGCACAGTACATAGTTTCAGTATTGGAGTATCACAGGATTTATTATTTTAAGATTGAGATTAATATTTCTGTTTATGGTCAAATGGGTGAGTGAGTGAAAGTGTGAACCACCAGGTGGTATTCGTGTAGTTAGTTGACGGGGTGTATCAGGGAGGTAAGATGTTTTCTAATGGTAGTTTTGAAGGTGATGAATATGTCTGCAGTTCTTGAGTTCTCAGGTAGGGTGTTCCAGATTTTAGGGCCTTTGACATACATTGAATTTTTGTAAAGGTTTTGTCGGACACGGGGGAATGTCGTAGAGATGTTTGTGTCTGGTGTTATGCTTGTGGGTTCTGTCACAACTATCAAGAAAGCGTTTTAGGTCAAGGTTGATATTGGAGTTTAAGGTCCTGTAGATGTAGATTGCACAGTAGTAAGTGTGGATGTACTGAACAGGGAGTAAGTTTAGATCTATGAAGAGTGGGGGGGATGGGTGTTGCCAGGGATGGGATTTAGTGATTATTCTTACTCCAGCTTTTTGTTGGGTTATTATTGGCTTTAGGTGTGTTGCTGCAGTTGATCCCCAAGCACAAATAGCATAGGTGAGGTATGGATAAATAAGTGAGTGGTATAGTGTGAGGGCATTTTGCGGCACGTAGTATCGTATCTTGGAGAGGATTCCAACCGTTTTGGATACTTTTTTGGTTGTGTTGGATATGGGTGCTGAAATTCAGGTTGTTGTCAAGGTATAGGCCTAGGAATTTGCCCTCATTATGTCTGGTAATTAGAGTGTTGTCGATCTTAATGTTAATTTGTGCATCTCCTGCTCTACTACCAAACATAATATAGTAGGTTTTGTCAGTGTCAAGCGTAAGTTTATTGGCTGTCATCCAAGTCGATATTTTGATCAGCTCCTCGTTAACAATGGTGATGAGGGTGGCAAGATTAGGGTGAGAGATGACATAAGTCGTGTCGTCAGCAAAGAGAATGGGTTTCAGGTGTTGGGATATGTTTGGAAGATCATTGATGTATATGAGGAAGAGCAGGGGACCAAGGACACTTCCCTGCGGAACTCCAGTATCAAGTGGCCGTGTTGTTGATGCTGTGTCTTTAATGGTGACATACTGATACCTATTAGTAAGGTAAGATTTGAAATAAGCAAGCGCATGGCCTCTTATACCGTAATGGTCAAGTTTGTGGAGTAGGATGTCGTGGTCTACTGTGTCAATAAAAATTCCTAGTGGATATTCCTTATTTTCCAATGCTGTGTAAAGCAGATCTAGCATTTTTATGATTGCATCATTAGTGCTTTTATTTTTCCTGAATCCAAATTGGCAGGGGTTGAGTATGTTTTGTGCCGTTATAAATGAATATAGTCTCCTGTGCACGAGTCTGTCACTCGCCTGAGTATCGGTGATAAATTTCTTCCGTTCTCTCTGGGAAGTTTGTCTTCATCTATCTTTCCCGCCGGGCATTCTGCAGGAGGGGCACCTGTTCATCGGCTTACTTTTAACCAGCTCCATTTTTTTCCGCTCTGCGGATAATTGTTTATCGGTCTTTGGTGGGAAGCCGGTTACTGAACTCAGGTGGGGGTGTGGGCGTCCCGCTCTGCTGAGGCTTGGCAAGGGGGTCCACCGGATCTAATCGGAAACTTAGTTTCTATCTCTATTTAAAAAGGAACTTCTGTTCGTTTTCTTTCATCGCTCAGCCTTGGGCAACAAATCTTCTGGTACCATCGAGAAGTCGGGTTCGGTACAGTTTATGCTGTTAGTGGCCCTTATAAACCCAACAAAGAAAGAAAGAAAAGCCCTGATCATTATTAATGGAAGAAATGTATTTATTTTTACTCACAACTGGTCTTGGGTGTGCGGGGGTTGTGCTGCCCACACTAGTACAGCATGTGAGTATTGTACAGTTGTGTCAGCCTAGTATTGAGTACTGGAAATATGGCACTGACTTGATTGGGGTTATCCTCGTTTTAAATTTGCATGATGTAATTTTTATGTGCCTGTAACGTCTGTGTATCCTAAAGGCCATTGATTTTTTTTAATGTTATGTGAGCAAAACCTAAATAAAGTATCTGCATTAGAGACAGTAAGTGTGGCTGACGGTATCTGCATCAGAGATAGTTTGTTGGGCTGACAGTATCTGCATCAGAGATAGTTTGTGGGGGCTGACAGTATCTGCATCAGAGATAGTTTGTGGGGCTGACAGTATCTGCATCAGAGATAGTTTGTGTGGCTGACAGTATCTGCATCAGAGATAGTTTGTGGGGCTGACAGTATCTACATCAGAGATAGTTTGTGGGGCTGACAGTATCTGCATCAGAGATAGTTTGTGGGACTGACAGTATCTGCATCAGAGATAGTTTGTGGGGCTGACAGTATCTATATCAGAGATAGTTTGTGGGGCTGACGGTATCTGCATCAGATATAGTTTGTGGGGCTGACGGTATCTTCATAAGAGATAGTTTGTGGGGCTGACAGTATCTGCATCAGAGATAGTTTGTGTAGCTGACAATATCTGCATCAGAGATAGTTTGTGTGGCTGACAGTATCTGCATCAGAGATAGTTTGTGGGGCTGACAGTATCTGCATCAGAGATAGTTTGTGGGGCTGACAGTATCTGCATCAGAGATAGTTTGTGTGGCTGACAGTATCTGCATCAAAGATAGTTTGTGGGACTGACAGTATCTGCATCAGAGATAGTTTGTGGGGCTGACACTATCTGCATCAGAGATAGTTTGTGGGGCTGACAGTATCTGAATCAGATAGTTTGTGTGGCTGACAGTATCTGCATCAGAGATAGTTTGTGGGGCTGACAGTATCTGCATCAGAGGTAGTTTGTGGGGCTGACAGTATCTGCATCAGAGGTAGTTTGTGGGGCTGACAGTATCTGCATCAGAGTTTGTGGGGCTGACAGTATCTGCATCAAAGATAGTTTGTGGGGCTGACAGTATCTGCATCAGAGATAGTTTTTGGGACTGACAGTATCTGCATCAGAGATAGTTTTTGGGACTGACAGTATCTGCATCAGAGATAGTTTTTGGGACTGACAGTATCTGCATCAGAGATAGTTTGTGGGGCTGACAGTATCTGCATCAGAGGTAGTTTGTGGGGCTGACAGTATCTGCATCAGAGATAGTTTGTGGGGCTGACAGTATCTGCATCAGAGATAGTTTGTGGGGCTGACAGTATCTGCATCAGTGATAGTTTGTGGGACTGATGGTATCTTCATCAGAGATAGTTTGTGGGGCTGACAGTATCTGCATCAGAGAGAGTTTGTGGGGGCTGATGGTATCTGCATCAGAGTTAGTTTGAGGGCCTGACGGTATCTGCATCAGAGAGTTTGTGTGGATGACAGTACAGTGGACCCCCGAGTTTCGTGATTAATCCGTTCCAGAGAGCCCGCCGAAGGTCGAAATTCACGAAACTCGAAACCATTTTCCCCGTAAGAAATAATGAAAATAAAATTAATCCGTTCCAGACACCCAAAAATATTAAAATAAAATATTTTTTTTTTCAAATTAAATAAAGATTTACATAATGAAAACAATCAGAAATCAAGTACATGCATTTAACCCGTAAACGGTCCAAGCAGATCTACGTTCACATGCGTAGTGCTCCAAAAGTAGATCTATGTTTTTTTTTACATATTTTCAAATATATAAAAAAAAATTTCAAATGTAAAAAAAAAAAAGATCTACTTTTTTTACATACTATCAAATGTTGAAAAAATGTATATATACGTTTGGACCGTTTACGGGTTAAAATAAATAATAATAACATTACACTTACCTTTACTGAAGACTTCTGGGTGGATGGAAGACGGGAGGAGGTGATAGGAGGAAGGTGTACAGTATTGTTTGGAAAAAGAATCTCCTTCCATTAGGGCTTTAGGTAGCAAGTCCTTATCTGGGGTTACGTCCCTTCCTCTTTTAGTGCCACTGGGAACAACTTGAGAGTCACTGGACCCCTGGCGCACAAAATATCTATCCAGAGAGGTCTTTTTCTGGCGTTTCTTTAATATTTCCCTGAAGTGGGACACAACACTGTCATTGTACATGTTGCAGATACAGCTTGTTTCAGCTTGGTCAGGGTGATGCTTTTCAGAAAAACTTTGCAACTCATTCCACATTCCACACATGTCCTTAATCACTGAAGAAGGCACCTCATCCACTCCCTCTTCCTCCTCCTCTGAAGTAAGTTCCTCAGCTGTGGTCTGATGCTGTTCCAGTTGAAGCTCTTGCAGTTCGTCAGTGGTTAGCTCTTCCCTGTGGTCCTCCACCAACTCTTCCACATCCCCGTCACTCACTTTATTTACCAAAGGGCTTGCACTAGCTTTCCTTGGGTCCATGATGACTTATTTAGCAGTTACAAGCACAAAAAACATTGGATTATTATGAAATGTATTGTATGAACCCGCGGGGTGATGGTCACGTGTTGGTAAACAATGGCACACTGAGCGTGAATGGCATGGGAGACTGGCTTTGTGTGCACACAGTGACGGGCGGACGGGTACCAGACGGTTGCCGAAACACGAATTTTTTCACGAAACTCAAGGCCAAATTTTTCAAAAAAAACTCACCGAAGGTTGAATTTCGCGAAAGTTGAGGCTGCCGAAACTTGGGGGTCCACTGTATTTGCAACAGTGATAATTTGTGGAGGCTGATGGTATCTGCATCAGAGATCATTTGTGTAGCTGCAAGTATGGGCACCAGAGACTTGTGTTGCTTACAGTATGCACACCAGATATAGATTGTTGCCCATAGTATCTGACAGCATCTACTCTAGGCAGTATATATCCCTAGAGATAGTTTGCATTACTGATAATTTCTGCAGCAGAGTTTGTTTCAAGTTAACAGTATCTGTCATAGAAATGGTTTGTGTTACTAATAGTATCTGTACCAGAGGAACTTTAATATACAACTTAAAGCATCATTAGCACTATATATTTACAAGTTGTAGACAAAATACTCCTTAAGGAAGGTTCCTTGATGCTGGTTAGGGGGTCTTGATCCTGCAGGTTTACACTTCTCCCTTGATTATAATAATAATGTAGACAAAATAATTGCAGTACCATAAATTCATAATTTTTTGATGACATGACTTTTAACAGTAATGTACTTCAGTGCTATGAATTTTCATTTTACAGAGTGAAATATTCTTTAATAATAATAATAATAATAATAATAATAATAATAATAATGTCTTTAATTACTACATGTATATGGTATACAGGCCTAGCTGACATCAATGACATACTACTATATAGAAAGCCCCTTATGCTGAACATTTCAGGCAAATTAGTTCAGTGTCCCAGGATGCGACCCACACCAGTCAACTAACACTCAGGTACCCATTTTACTGATGGGGAACATAGACAACAGGTGGAAAGAAACATGGCCAATGTTTCTATTCTGGCTGGGAATCGAACCCAGGCCCTCGCTGTGTGAAGCGAGAGCTTCAACATGGTGGCTACCAGGCCACCATGGGTCTGCATGTATTTAATTTCAATATCTTATAAATGACAGTAGTTTGTTGGATTATGTATTGGTAGATAAAAGACTGTTGAGTAGACTTCAGGATGTACATGTTTATAGAGGGGCCACAGATATATCAGATCACTTTCTAGTTGTAGCTACACTGAGAGTAAAAGGTAGATGGGATACAAGGAGAATAGAAACATCAGGGAAGAGAGAGGTGAAGGTTTATAAACTAAAAGAGGAGGCAGTTAGGGTAAGATATAAACAGCTATTGGAGGATAAATGGGCTAATGAGAGCATAGGCAATGGGGTCAAAGAGGTATGGGGTAGGTTTAAAAATGTAGTGTTAGAGTGTTCAGCAGAAGTTTGTGGTTACAGGAAAGTGGGTGCAGGAGGGAAGAGAGCGATTGTGGAATGATGATGTAAAGAGAGTAGTAAGGGAGAAAAAGTTAGCATATGAGAAGTTTTTACAAAGTAGAAGTGATGCAAGGAGGGAAGAGTATATGGAGAAAAAGAGAGAGGTTAAGAGAGTGGTGAAGCAATGTAAAAAGAGAGCAAATGAGAGAGTGGGTGAGATGTTATCAACAAATTTTGTTGATAATAAGAAAAAGTTTTGGAGTGAGATTAACAAGTTAAGGAAGCCTAGAGAACAAATGGATTTGTCAGTTAAAAATAGGAGAGGAGAGTTATTAAATGGAGAGTTAGAGGTATTGGGAAGATGGAGGGAATATTTTGAGGAATTGTTAAATGTTGATGAAGATAGGGAAGCTGTGATTTCGTGTATAGGGCAAGGAGGAATAACATCTTGTAGAGTGAGGAAAGGCCAGTTGTGAGTGTGGGGGAAGTTCGTGAGGCAGTAGGTAAAATGAAAGGGGGTAAGGCAGTCGGGATTGATGGGATAAAGATAGAAATGTTAAAAGCAGGTGGGGATATAGTTTTGGAGTGGTTTGTGCAGTTATTTAATAAATGTATGGAAGAGGGTAAGGTACCTAGGGATTGGCAGAGAGCATGCATATGTTCCTTTGTATAAAGGCAAAGGGGACAAAAGAGAGTGCAAAAATTATAGGGGATAAGTCTGTTGAGTATACCTGGTAAAGTGTATGGTAGAGTTATTATTGAAAGAATTAAGAGTAAGACAGAGAATAGGATAGCAGATGAACAAGGAGGCTTTAGGAAAGGTAGGGGGTGTGTGGACCAGGTGTTTACAGTGAAACATATAGGTGAACAGTATTTAGATAAGGCTAAAGGGGTCTTTGTGGCATTTATGAATTTGGAAAAGGTGTATGACAGGGTGGATAGGGGGGCAATGTGGCAGATATTGCAGGTGTATGGTGTAGGAGGTAGGTCACTGAAAGCAGTGAAGAGTTTTTACGAGGATAGTGAGGCTCAAGTCAGAGTATGTAGGAAAGAGGGAAATTATTTCCCAGTAAAAGTAGGCCTTAGACAAGAATGTGTGATGTCACCGTGGTTGTTTAATGTACGTATTTATAGATGGGGTTGTAAGAGAAGTAAATGCGAGAGTCTTGGCAAGAGGCGTGGAGTTAAAAGATAAAGAATCACACACAAAGTGGGAGTTGTCACAGTTGCTCTTTGCTGATGACACTGTGCTCTTGGGAGATTCTGAAGAGAAGTTGCAGAGATATTTGGATGAATTTGGTAGGGTATGCAAAAGAAGAAAATTAAAAGTGAATACAGGAAAGAGTAAGGTTATGAGGATAACAAAAAGATTAGGTGATGAAAGATTGGATATCAGATTGGAGGGAGAGAGTATGGAGGAGGTGAATGTATTCAGATATTTGGGAGTGGACGTGTCAGCGGATGGGTCTATGAAAGATGAGGTGAATCATAGAATTGATGAGGGGAAAAGGGTGAGTGGTGCACTTAGGAGTCTGTGGAGACAAAGAACTTTGTCCTTGGAGGCAAAGAGGGGAATGTATGAGAGTATAGTTTTACTAACGCTCTTATATGGGTTGAAGCATGGGTGATGAATGTTGCAGCGAGGAGAAGGCTGGAGGCAGTGGAGATGTCATGTCTGAGGGCAATGTGTGGTGTGAATATAATGCAGAGAATTCGTAGTTTGGAAGTTAGGAGGAGGTGCGGGATTACCAAAACTGTTGTCCAGAGGGCTGAGGAAGGGTTGTTGAGGTGGTTTGGACATGTAGAGAGAATGGAGCAAAACAGAATGACTTCAAGAGTGTATCAGTCTGTAGTGGAAGGAAGGCGGGGTAGGGGTCGGCCTAGGAAAGGTTGGAGGGAGGGGGTAAAGGAGGTTTTGTGTGCGAGGGGCTTGGACATCCAGCAGCATGCGTGAGCGTGTTTGATAGGAGTGAATGGAGACAAATGGTTTTTAATACTTGACGTACTGTTGGAGTGTGAGCAAAGTAACATTTATGAAGGGGTTCAGGGAAACCGGCAGGCCGGACTTGAGTCCTGGAGATGGGAAGTACAGTGCCTGCACTCTGAAGGAGGGGTGTTAATGTTGCAGTTTAAAAACTGTAGTGTAAAGCACCCCTCTGGCAAGACAGTGATGGAGTGAATGATGGTGAAAGTTTTTCTTTTTCGGGCCACCCTGCCTTGGTGGGAATCGGCCAGTGTGATAATAAATAAATAATAAATAAATGACTGAATTCAAAAATAGTATTTAGAGCAATTGATTACCATAATGTATTGTAACTTACCTAGAGATGTTTTGGAGCCCTGTCCCGATGAGTGACTGAATTTATTAATATCTTAAGCAGTACATTACTGTATTATAGTATAGCTTACCTAGAACAGTTTTCAAGCCAAGTCCCTAGACCCATTACAGTGGACCCTCAACCAACGATATTAATCCATTCCTGAGAGCTCATCGTTAATCGAAGTTATCGTTAGTCGAGTTAATTTTCCCCATAAGAAATAATGGAAATCAAATTAATCCGTTCCTGACACCCCAAAGTATTGAAAAAAAAAATTTTACCACATTAAATATTAATTTTAATACACACAAACTGAAGAAGACATGCACAGTTACATGACACTTACCTTTATAGAAGATCTGGTGATGATTGATGGGATGGGAGGAGGGGAGAGTGTTGATGGTGTTAGTGTTTAGAAGGGGAATCCCCTTCCATTAGGACTTGAGGTGGCACTTCCTTTTCCGGGGTTACTTCCCATCTTCTTTTAATGCCACTAGGACCAGCTTGAGAGTCACTGGACCTCTGTCGCACAACATATCTGTCCATAGAGGCCTGTACCTCCTGTTCCTTTATGACATTCCTAAGGTGTTTCACAACATTGTCAGTGTACAGGTTGCCAACACGGCTTGCAGTAGCTGTGTCAGGGTGATTTTCATCAAAAAAGGTTTGCACTTTAAGCCACATTGCACACTTTTCCTTAATCTTAGAAGTAGGCAACTTCTTCAATTTCTCTATCCCCTCCTCCAAAGCAGTTTCCTCAGGTGTGGCCTCTTGCTGTTGAAGATGATCTAGCAGCTCATCAGTGGTTAGTTCTTCATTGTCCTCCTCCACCAACTCTTCCATATCCTCCCCACTAACCTCCAACCCCAAGGACTTTCCCAATGCCACAATGGATTCCTCAACTGGCATAGGATTCTCAGGGTTAGCCTCAAACCCTTCAAAATCCCTTTTGTTTACACATTCTGGCCACAGTTTTTTCCAAGCAGAGTTCAAGATCCTCTTAGTCACTTCCTCCCAAGCCTTACCTATAATGTTTACACAATTGAGGAACTTGTTTCGATTGTTTTTATGGGTTATTTAATACCTTTCAGCTTCTACTTTTTAAAAATAACAATGGCTGATTTTCTCAGTTCAATATGTTATTTTGCTTATGGGGTTATCTCAATTTATTGTTTAGTATAATAATTACTTGCATTTAAGTTTATTTACAAATTATGCCAGTAACTCATGTTCAACAGATGCTGCGGGCAATTGGGGGTGAGGGCTCAGCAGAACGCCAGATGCGTCAGGAAGTTGCAAATTTGAAACAACAGTTGCAGAACATTAGCATGGTTGACCAATTTGCTATTTATGCTAGAGTGCAGCGCAAAATCAATGCTCTTAGCCAACAGTATAAAGAAAAAGGTACGGTACAAGAATCTGTATAATTACCTACTGTACTTGTATTGCCTGTTAACCCTTTCACTGTCAACACTCGCCAAATTAAGCCTCTTGTGTGTCATCATTTTTCGAAAAAAAAAAAAAAAATCTGAATTGGTGGAAAATCTTTTTTCTAAAAGTAATGACACCAAAAATGAAAAATTTAATCCAGTTATTGCTGAATTACACAGAAAGCGTTGGAAATCAGGGAGCACTTTATACAACAGTATTTTTGCCCATTTTGAGGCCTACTTCAGGGGAATTCCAGTGCTCAAGCCAATCCAGTTACCAGTTGTTTTCCTAGTATGCCTTCTGTACTATCCACTGATAGAAAGAAACCACTACCTTTAGCTATCAGCTTTACCCCATTAATTGTCCAGAATTTGATTATTTTACCAATGTTACACTATTTTAAAAAATTCCAATTTAAAAAGCCCAAAACAAAGGCTGTAGGCATTCCAGTCACTAATGCAACCTTCCTGTTGTTCATTAATTACATACCCTGACCTCTCCAGTATTTACACTTGCCCTCTAATTTGACTCCATTGTCACAAAAAAAATTGCAGTTTTTTCCCATTTGTCAGCTAATGAACTGTAACCAAAATTATTTAATCATAGTTTAGGAAGTCCCAGTAATTGAAACAGACCTAGGAAACACCTGTACAATGGGCTGGGGGGACTCCCTACCTTTTCCTAGGAAAAGTGCCAAAAATTGACTGAGAAAACCAGCTGAAATTTCAGTTTTGCTAGTGTGTCTTCCAATCTGTCTATTGAGAACTACCCTAGAAAACAACCCAAAGTTGCTATTGGAACCCAAATGCAAGGTCAGGGGTTGGCTGTTTCCATAATGTACTGCATGGACCAAGATTTTTTTATTACACTGTGCACACTCATGCTCTTGTCATGGCCAAAATTTGCTTACAGCAAACTCGAGGGTGCTATGAATTATGCATAGATCTCCATCTGAGACACTGATCCCACTGACAGATCTACACGAGTGACAGTGAAAGGAGTTAATACAGAAGATACAGAACATGTTAATTTCCAAACATTTTCTTTAGTTAATTTATTGTAATTATATTTTTTTATTTTTTCAAGGGTTTTGACACCTCCTCATCTTAAGACTCATTCTAGCAGAGGCTAAAGGGCCTTTCTAAAGAAATAAAATATTTTCTATTCTGCACATCTGAACTTCTAACTACCATTTTTTTCTTTAATGTTGCGTACGGGGGCGATCGGGGGGAGAACACGGGGGGTCGGGGTTTTGGCAGGGCTCTAAGGACTGTGGGGGCACTTATGTGTTTGGGTTTACTGGGGGATCAATGATCCGTACTGTCTCTTTCACCCGACCTAGTTGGCCACTTTTTACCACGTTATCTTTCCCAGGGTGCCAATTTGGACAGGTAAGAACTTGATTTGGAAAACAAACTGAAGGAATAGAATGAAAAGGGAAAAATTTTTTTAAAGAAAAATTGCCCTTGTTTTTAATTTGCACAGCCCCCTTTAAATTTTTAAACATCTTTTGAATATACCAAAAAAGGGATACTGAAAATTTAAAAACTAAAAACCGGGAGAATTCGGGGGGGGGGGGCCCAAATCTTAAACATTGAAATTAAATTGCATATTAAAGAAAAAGGCTTAGCAAAAGGGGGGCAAAATACTTTTAATAAAAAGCAGAGGTCACAATGAGTGCACTAATAGAGAACACATAAGGGGAAAGGGGGCCCAAGACTTTTCAATACTACCCCCCTTCTTTCCCTAAGGGTTTTTCAAAAAAATTCCATGATTCCCAAAAAAGATGGAAGTTTGGTAAGTTTTCCCCATTTTAGTTCCTGATAAATTTGGGCTAGGGTTTGCATACTTTTGGCTACTTTGAGTTGGCTTCAACATCCGTTGCTCGGGTCAGCAACTGGAAGCTGGGTCATTCAGGTTAGCAACTAAATGTCCTGATCATTCAAGCCAGCTACCAGGGGGGGTTTGGTCGGGAAACTGGATAAATGGGAGGGGGGGGGGCAGTGACCCCCTAAATTTTTTTTTTTGGATAATTTCAAAAGTTACTTTTATCTTCATTTAGGTTGAAAATACAGTATTCCCGTTCCCCAAAAAGTACAAATAAAATTTTTCTTTCACCTAAAAGCGAAGGCAGGAACATTTACTTCCCCCACCCCTTTTGTTGACCGCTTAAAATTTTGATCACTGTAAGTAAGTCTGTTTTTTGGCTCCTATTTTTGGGGGATTCTTTTATAAAAATTTTTAAGTTTAAATTTTTTTGTACTCCGGGTTTTCCTATCCTTTATTTTTTTTTTCTTTTTTTTACTTACACTCGTTCATAATTGATTTTTCCAAAATACAAACTGCTTTTGAAACTCTCTTTAGTTGCTCATCCAAATTTTCTGGCAGCTTTGATTATCATGAAACATCAGGTCTCATCATGGTTTTTTTGATAGCACCTCCACAAATAGGTCTGGGGAAAACGTTCCCCGCAACAGGTGAAACATTGCACACGTTTCCTTACACCTGCTCACCTAGCAGTAAGTAGGTACCTGGGTTTTAGCCAACTGTTGTGGGTCTCATTCTGGGGAACGTGATTAATCGAAATTGCTCACAATATTCTACATAACCAGGGGCTTTTTATGTAGTATGCCAGTGATGTCATCTAGGTCTCTGATAGTTGTATCATGTACTTGTAGAAATAATTATTATTATTTACAATAGGCATCATAAATATGCATGCACATAAACAGATCACACAAAGATTGATTTAAATATATAATAATGAAATATGAATGTCTTCCTCACCTAAACTTGTATTTTGTAGGATTACCCTTCCTTCCAATTTACTCCTTAAGCTCCTCAGTACTAAAAAGGCTAACTTTTGGATGATATAAAAGTCAATACCTGCCCACACCTGCTTAATGCCACCTGAGATTTTCGTCTTAGAGAACATGTACGTCCCATGATGCCTACCCTTAATAAGTTTCCAGATGTTCTCTATCAGATTTAAGTCCATTATGTTTCCAGGCTGGTCATTAGAGAAAAATCACAATAATTTAGTCAATTTATATTTTTGGCAATATAGCAAGGAGCACTGTCTTCCATATAAAAGTTGGCCTGGCACTTTTGTAATCTGTCAGGCAAATAGTCTACGAGAGGCGTACTTATGGGCGTACATATTTGTGATGCCATGGGGCATTGTTAAACCTGTAAGTGTTGTGTAACACTTGGGGGGGAATGGGATGCAATCAGGTTCAGTCAAAGAAAGGGGCAGACAAATCCAATTCCTTGTATCAAGTGCACCTCACCAGCATCAAAGAACCTTGAAGGGATCCATTGACGAATAGATTTGTTTTAGTATCTTCAGACATTTTTGAAGACTTAAAGGAACACTAAAATACCTGTGTGAAGACTTTAACAAGCAGCTTGCTTTACTAGAAAAATGAGGACGTGACGATAGGACAAAAGTCGCCTCTGAAAATACGTACACTGGATCCTTGGTTATCAGCCGTTCCGCTTATTGGCCAACTCGGTTATCGGCTGGTTTTTTGGCTTCCAGTTATTGGCCATATGGGATGCGTCAACCCGCCGCCACTGCCAACCGCTCGTGCATCAGTCTGGCTTTGTCTCTGGGCGAGTGAGGAAGCTTCTGCTATTCATCCAAACATTTCGCTATAATCCATTGTTTTTCGTGGTTAATGATTAAGTGCAATTGCGAAATAAGTAACCATGGCCCCAAAGAAAGTTCCTAGTAAATTTCCTTTGGTAAAGAAAGTGAGAAACACGATGGAATTCAAGGAAGAAGTTGAAAAGTATGAGAGTGGTGTTAGAGTGCTAGAACTTGCCAGGACGTATGGGAAAAACAAATCAACAATCCCTTCTATCTTGGCAAAGAAAGTAGAAATCATGGAAGCTAATGTTGCGAAAGGAGTAAATGTTTTAATGAAACAAAGGTCACCTATAATGGAAGATATGGAGAAGTTATTGTTGTGGATCACTGAAAAACAATTAGCGGGAGATAGTGTTGTGGAGTCGATTATTTGTGAGAAGGCAAGGCAGTTGCATGCGGATCTTGTAAAGAAAATGCCTGGAACAAATGCTGCTGTTAGTGAATTTAGGAAACCATACCACGGGTGGGGTTTGAACCCACGGTCAGAGAGTCCCAAAACTCCAGACCATCGCATTAGCCACTTGAGTCTGATTAATGAGACGGTCTGGAGTTTTGAGACACTCTGACTGCAGGTTTGAACCCCACCTATGGTATGGTTTGTTTGCAATCGTGTCATTACGATTTCGTGAGTCAGTGATTTAGGGCCAGCAAAGGCTGGTTTGAGAGATTTAAGAAGCGTAGTAGCATACACAGTGTGGTAAGGCATGGTGAGGCTGCAAGTTCTGACAAATGTGCAGCTGTGTTCAAGTGTGACGAAACAGGCCTCTTTTGGAAGAAATGCCAAAGAAGACCTACATTACGCAGGAGGAAAAGGCAAGCCTATGAAAGACAGGCTTACTCTTTTGTTCTGTGGTAATGCTAGTGGGGATTTCAAAGTGGGATGATTTCAAAGGGAATGTCATCAAGAATAGATTGTGTGTGATGTTGAAAGCTAATAATAAGGCATGGGTCACATGGCACATTTTCAAAGAGTGGGTCAATTATGTGTTTGGCCCCAGTGTGAAAAAATACCTGGAACATAAATTGCCACTCAAGTGCCTCCTGGTACTATACAATGCTCCTGCTCATCCTCCAGACTTGGAAGATCAATTGTTTAGGGACTTCGTTTTATAACTGTGAAATTCTTGCCTCCTAATACCACTCCTCTCATCCAGCCTAGGGACCAGCAGGTCATTTCTAAACTTCAAAAAACTCTACACCAAGCAGTGTTTCAAAGGTGCTTTGAAGTGACCTCGGAAACTGATTTTGCCCCCAAAGAGAGTTCTGGAGGAACCCACTTCAATACCCTCCATTGATAACCCTTTTAGGTAAGGCTTTAGAGGGAGTGACTTCCAGGACTTTAAAATCGCTTGGAAAAAATTTGTGGCCGTTTTGCCCAAGAGGGGGTTTTTAAAAGGGGTTTGGGGGCTGCCCCTGAGGTCCCCCTTCCTGTTGGGAAATTATTGTTTTTGGGGGAAAAAATCCAGGGGGTTGGAGGTTAGGGGGAAGTATGGGGAAAGATTTTGGGGGAGGACCCAGTGAAGGCTAACCCCTGAAAAACTGCAAGAGCTTTATCTGGGCAGCAACAGACCACACCCGAGAAAATTGCTTCAGAGGAGGAGGGAAAAGGGGGGGGGAAGGAGGGGCCTTCTTTTGAGATTAAAGGGGATTTGTGTAGTTTTAGGTGGGGGCAAGCTTTTTTGGAAAATATCCCCTGTAAGTGAAGCAAGCCATATCTGCAACTGTTTAGTGCAAAATTGTCCTACTTCAGGGAAAAATTTTAAGAGATGCCAGAAATGGACCCCTGGGCAGATTTTTTTTTGTGACAGGGGTCCAGTGACTCAAACTGGGTTTTAGTGGCATTAAAAGACAAAGGGGAAATAAACCAGAGAGGGATTTGTTTCCTGAAGTCATTATGGAGGGGATTCCCCTTCCAAACAAAACCCCCCAAATCCCTCACTCCTCCCCCCGTTTCCATTTAAACCAACAAGATTTCAATAAAGGATGTAATAGTGATTTAATTGTTCATGTTTTTATTTTATTTTGTTCCCCTTGTTTTGTGTATAAAAAACTATAATTAATCTTTAAAAAGTTTATTTTTGGTTAATATTTTTAGGTATCTGGAACGGATTAATTTTTTTTTTTTTTTTTCAACAAGTCGGGCCGTCTCCCACCGAGGCAGGATGACCCAAAAAAAAAAGAAGAAAATCCGTAAAAAGAAAATACTTTCATCATCATTCAACACTTTCCACCATACTCACACATTACACTGTTTTTGCAGAGGTGCTCAGAATAAAACAGTTTAGAAGCATATACGTATAAAGATACACAACATATCCCTCCAAACTGCCAATATCCCAAACCCCTCCTTTAAAGTGCAGCATTGTACTTCCCATTTCCGGACTCAAGTCCGACTATATGAAAATAACCGTTTCCCTGAATCCCTTCACTAAATATTACCCTGCTCACACTCCAACAGATCGTCAGGTCCCAAGTATCATTCGTCTCCATTCACTCCTATCTAACACGCTCATGCACGCCTGCTGGAAGTCCAAGCCCCTTGCCCACAAAACCTCCTTTACCCCCTCTCTCCAACCCTTTCGAGGACGACCCCTACCCCTCCTTCCTTTCCCTATAGATTTATATGCTTTCCATGTCATTCTACTTTGATCCATTCTCTCTACATGACCAAACCACCTCAACAACCCCTCTTCTGCCCTCTGATTAATGCTTTTATTAACTCCACACCTTCTCCTAATTTCCACACTCCGAATTTTCTGCATAATATTTACACCACACATTGCCCTTAGACAGGACATCTCCACTGCCTCCAACCGTCTCCTCGCTGCTGCATTTACCACCCAAGCTTCACATCCATATAAGAGTGTTGGTACTACTATACTTTCGTACATTCCCTGCTTTGCCTCCATAGATAACGTTTTTTGACTCCACATATACCTCAACGCACCACTCACCATTTTTCCCTCATCAATTCTATGATTAACCTCATCCTTCATAAACCCATCCTCCGACACGTCAACTCCCAAGTATCTGAAAACATTCACTTCTTCCATACTCCTCCTCCCCAATTTGATATCCAATTTTTCTTGTATTTACATTAATTCGTATGGGAAATATTATTTCGGTTTCCAGCCGTTTCAGTTTTAGGACGTCCTTCTGGAACAGATTACAGCCAATAACCGAGGGTTCACTGTATATACAAGAAAGAGTAGAAGGGAGGAAATAGGACAGCAAATGAAATAAATCATGTGGGTAAATATTATTCATCGAAACTGCAATGTGAATTTGTAGAAAATGGGAAACTAATAATTCTACAACATAAGTGAAGACAAACTTCAGTAAGATTAAATGTGTTCTGTACATACAATATCTTCCATGAAACAAAAGGATATTATACTTGGGAATTAAATATAGAATACATATTAACCTTACAAGTTACCTGTTTGGTCAGACAAGTGGGAATAGTCACACATACCTGTGAAAGATGAACATGTCCTCTCAGAGCTTTTCGTATAAAATATGTCACATAACATTGGATTATCCTTCTCTCTTGATTATCTTTTAATACCGATTCCTGTCGCAGTAATATGAACTCGGAAATAAAATGTAAGGTGAGTGTATTCTTATTATAATAACAATCAGGGATTACATAGCACCAGGTAAGTTGAATGTAACAGGAAAGCTAGAGATGACCATTCTTGCAAGTGTTTATTTAAATTATTAAGGAAATTTAGAAGTATTTTACAGTAAGCTTAGTTGTTTATTGTCACTTAGTAATTTGATGCACACTACATTATTATTACATGCATAGGTAGGCTAAACTCATAGGGGCACCTGGGGAAATGGGAGACTTTCAGGTTCAGTTCAAGAAAGGGGAGGGCAAGTCCTATTTTTTGGATTAAGAGCCCCTTGCTGGCATGAAGGAACCTTCCTGGAGTGTATAGTGTTTGTAAAAACTTAAGAAGTGTCCATTGGACATGGATGGTCCATCACAGGGGTGGCACCAGGAGGGGGTCGGAGGCTTTAACTTCCACTGGAAATAGTAATAATACTCCTTCAAAACATGTCTTCTAGCCCCCCTCCTTAAAACTACATAGCAACCCCCTAAGCCACCCTGACATAAAAATTCTGGTGCTGCATCTGGTTCATCTGTAAGCCATTTGCCAACATGCCAAAATATTTTGAACATGACCCATTACAGTAGTGGTACACTTTATGGTGACTAGCTGAATTGCACTCCTAGATGTGTTGTGGCAAGGTTGCATTTAGGTGAGCAAATAAAATTATGGGTAGTAGTAATTGATATTTTCAGAGCAGTTACACATGAGTATTTATGAGTGCAGAAATGAAAATATACGTACTTGGCATTAATTTGTTGACCCCTTTCCAGATAAGTGTGATGGTGTGGTTGGGTGTAGTACGTATGGTGTGTAGCAAAATGACCAGCTCCATGCCTACCAGTGTTCAAAGAAGTGGGCCACAGTTTGTGCCACCAGTCTTTGCTCAGTCAGCCACACCAGTTGCCCCACCATTAGACTGATGTCACTTCCCAATTCATTTTACCAGGTTTTACCTGGTAAATCCATTTACCAGGTAAAACCTGTTATGGTACTTTGTACAGTATCAGCTATTGGGGTAGCTGCTACAGTACATTATCTAAATACTACTGTAATTTATGGGAACTTTAGTGTTTTTTGTTAAACTAAAATGTGATACAGAATGATACAGGGATTTTACCGTGACATAAAAATTGGAAATTACAGTGCAGTATTTTAATTTACTTCATTACGAGTAGCTCGTTGTTAATACGAGGATAATATAGTTAACTTTGGCACTAAGTCCAAAAGTTTCACTTGGCATATATGAGGAAAGCTGTTTTTCACTTATATCATGATCATGCATATAGGCACACTTGCAACACCTGGGTATATATTAGACAGTGGAAGAGGTAATCAGTCACTTAGCCTTGATCAGTCTGAAACAGAAGCAGGAGAATTGGCACTTATATACCATAGCTAGAAGAAAGGTGCAGCAGTTAAAAGCATTGTAATGGGTAGTTGGGACCCACTGGTGGAAGTGAGTTAGGCTAAAGATAAGCAGTAGGGTTGTGGGAGTTTTTTTTTTTTTTTTGTATTTTCTATAAATGTACCTACCATATAATCTCGCAAATGCATGCATGATGTATAGGAATAGCCATGGCCAACTGATGAATTGGAGTGGGTAGAGTCATCCACAATGGGAATTTACATACTTCACTGCTTTGAATCAGAAGTTATTAGTTTGGACAATACATGTAAATAAGATTATTGTTAATATCTTCAGCTTTTACATGTTGTCATCAACGGTAATTTCTCATGTGAGAATGACGGTTAAAATATTTCGAGTTAATATACATAAGATTTGTCCAATAATTGATTGTATACTTAGAGACCAAGTAAGCATTCATCAGTTTTTTTTCTTAGTACTTCACAGGTTTACACAACCCGCATTCTAGTCTGTAAAACTGCAAAGATAAACAAATTTGTACACAGCAGCAGTATAAGTGCCAGAACTAAATAAATACAGGAGGGCCCCACTTATACAGCAAGTTCAGTTTCAGGCTACCACTGTAAAGTGAAACATATCCTTTTAAATGCTTATGCTGATAATATGTTTACACTATCATATATTAAGTGAGCAGAAGAGCTAGGCCTAAAAAAATGCATATACAGTACACACATTATTAACTTGAATATATTTTAGTCCTTAGCGTATAGCAATTGGTGAATATATTTATTGTAGGAAGTCGGAATAGATGAAGACTGGGTATAATTGACAAACACCGTATTAGCAAAACACCGTAAAGAGAATGCTGTAAAGCAGAGCTTTCCTGCATTCCTACTTAATATAATTTTTTTACAATATGGAAATCTTTCTTCTGTGAGTAAATATAATTAAAGATACTTTTATTGTTGAAGTTTTGTATTTTGTTAATTTATAAAAATACAGGTGAATAATGAAAATTCATATTTTTTTTTTTCCTGAGCTTGAGTGAAACTATCTACAGTATTAGTTTGTGAAGGCAAGGCAGAAGGGAGTGAGCCCTAGCTCTTGGATCTGCCTCAGAATGTTTAGCTGACATGAAAAAGTTTTGTCGTATATGATACTAATACTTTTAGAAAACTGGCGAGTACTGTACATGATCGGGACTCGTGCAACACTTGGGTATCTCTAGTGTGGAAACATTTTGCCACAAAGTAACTTTATCAGTCCAGTACAGAGAAATCAGTGAAAGATGTGAAATGGGAATTTGAGGTAATCAGTCCCTCAGTCTAGAGATGATGTGTTCAGTTCATCAGTCATATCATCATTACTACAATTCTGGATCTACTACCCTTCCACTGCTCTAATTCTACAACCACATTTTCAGTCACCTTATCTGAATCTATATCTGGCTTCCCTCTCACCCTGTGACTGACAATGTCCAGAAAGAAATAAGTGTTCATAAGTCCTTTATAAGTATGGATTTCTAGTGAATATACCCCTCATGGAAGGTTCCTTGATGTTGGTGAGGGGCTCTTGATTTAAGGAATTGGATCTGTGCTCCAGTTCCCCGAATTAAGCCTGAATGCCTTCCACATCCCCCCTTCCCTGGGCGCTGTATAATCCTACGGGTTTAGCGCTTCCCCCTTGATTATAATAATAATAATCTAGTGAATATACAGTACATATATTACAATTTTTGTTAATTATCCTTGTTTACACGTATTTGTATTGCTGTATGATGTGTAGTGATTTGCACAAAACTTAATACTTTGAAAGTTTATTTTTTTATTCTGCTGCCCCTTGGACCATACTGCCTGGGACATGCACGCCACTCGCCCCCAGCTATGACACTGAAGCCTTAGATTCATCTTTTATATGGGACCTTGTTAAATATGAAAAACTTCTGCCTTTGTATTATAGTAAAGCCTCTCATAATGCAGACAGTAAATAAATAGGGTTACATTCCACACACCTTCGAATTTACCTATCAAATATTTTTATATTATTCTGTTAGATAAAAACTGCTGTATAAGATAGAAAGTGAACATAGATAAGAGTAAGGTGATGAGGGTATCAAACGATTTAGATAAAAATTGGATATATTGGAGGAAGGAAGAATGGAAGAAGTGAATGTGTTCAGATATTTGGAAGTTGACTTGTCAGCAGATGGGTTTATGAAGGATGAGGATAACCATAGAATTGAAGGAAAGGCGAGTGGTGCTCCAAGGTATCTGTGGGACAAAAAACATTGTCCATAGAGCAAAGAAGGTAATGTATGAGTATAGTGGTACCAACACTCTATATGGTGTAAAGCATGAGTTGTAAATGCTGCAGCAAGTAGGAGGCTGGAGGCAGTGGAAATGTTGTGTCTAAGGGCAGTGTGTTGGTGTAAATATTATGCAGAGAATTTGTCGTGCGGAAATTAGGAGTGTGGAGTTACTAAAGTATTAGCCAGAGGGGTTGTTGAGATGGTTTGGTCATTTAGAGAGAATGAAACAAAGTAGAATGACTTGGAAAGCATATAAATCTTAGTGGAAGGAAGGCAGGGTAGGGGGTCATCCTAGGAAATGTTGGAGGGAGGGGGTACAGGAGGTTTGTGGATGAGAGACTTGGACTTCCAGCAAGTGTGTGAGAGAATGTGAGATAGGAGTAAATGGAGACGAATGGTTTTTGGAACCTGACGAGCTGTTGGAGTGTGAGCAGGGCAATATTTTGTGAAGGGATTCAGGAAAACCAGTTAGCAGGACTTGAGTCCTGGAAGTGGGAAGTACATTGCCTGGACTTTCAAGGAGGGATTTGGATATTGGCTGTTTGGGGGACAGCTAAACTGTCATATCTGAGCGCCTCTGCAAAGACAGTGATTACATATGAATGAAGGTGAAATTGTTGAATAGATGAATTTTTTCTGTTTGGCTTTTTCTTTCTTTTTGGTCACCCTGCCTTGGTGGGAAATAGCCGAAGTGTTAAAAAAAAAGAAAAACTGCTACAGAATAACTTGCCTCAAAAAATTTCCTTACCAAGCTGCACCAAATATACAAACTCACACCTATCCCAAACATAGCCCAAAAGAAAAATGCATTTGAAGAATAACCAAGAAAAAGTAAAGTAATGCTTACATATGTGGGAGAATGCATCTGGGAAATGTAATGAGAGCTGCCTACCCTGGCTTCCAGCAATACTATGAATTGTCATCCTGTGTGTTCATCACCTCTATTCAATCACTCCATAAAACTGAAGATCATTGAACTGATTTAAACATGTAATTCTTTTGTAATTGACCATTTGTTATTTGTAACATCTTTTATTGTACATAACTACACAAAATATCTTGCATAATACATATGCAAAGTCTATTTTTTAAGTAGCATGTAAGCCTCATGATCAATTTGCCTGAAATAGAATGCATGATTAGTGGCTTTCTTTGTACTAATTTATGTACAAACCACTGCAAAGAAAAGTAAACCTCCACCTCATCTCTCAATCATATAAACACAATTTTGCCATACCTTGTAAGGTGTGGGGAATCTATTATAAAAATGTGTGATGTGTGAGGAGTTGGCTGATGTAATTAATGGCTGCTTCTCAGTGAATGCCTATTATTTACACTACACCTTGCTCATTTAAATTCTCAAATTATCAATCACCAACATGTTCAACAATTACAGATACATCACTGTTAAAGGGAACAGGAATGTGTAATTACAGCATAACTTGGGTCCAGGGGTAAAACTTCTACAGCACTAATTACCAAGATTTTTTTGTGTGTAAATCGATGCACGCACTTTTTCAAGCCATGTTTATACAAATTTGCACTATGAAATCAGTTTAAGATTATTATAATAAAAAAGCACTAAACCTATAAGGGTCATACAGCACTGCTGGGCTGGGAAGGATGCAGGGGTAATGGGTAGCAAGAGGAGAGAGGATGATTATTAGGTTATGTAGTGCAGGGGTAGAGGTAGCAAGAGATTGACATAGAAAGGGCCATGAGGTATTAGAGGCATCATCATCAGAGTCTGCAGAAAATCAGTTGCCGTCAATTGCAGTATAAGAGGTTTTACTGTACGCGCACACTATAAAGTATCATGCCGCACTCTAAAAAAAAAAAAAATGCCTGCAAAGGTTATTCAGTACGTGCCGGAGATTGAAGTTAATGGGCTCTACTCAGTAAATTATTAACAGACTAAATACAGGGAATACAATAATAAACTGTAACGTAGTCATAATAGGTTTAATTCTGCTAGCTACAGTACAAGTAATCTTATGTTAATCATAAATCATAAAACATACATTTAATTAGTTATCAATTCTCAAGCATACAGTCATTACTTAAATATTCATAAAATTTAAATACATAAATTTCTGTACATAGGAAAATATACTATGTAAACAAAAACTTAACATTTGTAACAAGCCAATAACTAACAATAAATTAATTAGAGTACACATTACTATACAGTACTCATTTTAGCATCATATATGAAAGATTCAAGTACTGTTATGCATTGTGTATAAACATTTTCATATCTTTATATATAGTATTTATTCTGTAAGATTTGAGTATGTTCAAAAACAGATCAACTCCTAAAGCCGTTCTTCACACTTAATAATGGCTAGCTTCTTCCACAATACAAGCAACAATAAGCTAATGTCAGATTTCTCATAATTAAATATAAACTTCAATAATTTCATATCACTACATTTGTTGTAATATCTTGTACAGCATTACATCTTAAATATACTGTAGCACATATTTTGTATACCTGCATCATCCTTCACCTATAGCTTCTCACTGCATAAATTATCTTCTCTTTTCTGAACTGCTAGTGCTGTGAGACTAGTTTCTCATTTTTATATTCTGTGGGCCACAGAAGCAGCAACTAGGCTTACCAGTTGGACTTGGTCTGAATGTCCTCTTAACAACATTATTAATTCTATATATATTATGAACTGAATACCGCTGTAACTGGTATAGAGTGCAGTGGTTGTGTGGTGCACACATCAAAATATTTGGATAGGTTAGAAATGGTCCAACAAACAGCTACAAAATAATTAAGAGTTATAATGAAATGCTAAAAATGCTACAGATGCCCACACTGGCTAATAGAAAAAAGATGACATGGTAGCTACATACTAAGTTATAAAAGGACATGAAAACACTAGATGAATTAGAATTCTTAGTGCCTACATTATTATAATCAAAACTAATCACTAAACCCACAAGGGTCATACAGCCTTAACACCTACAACAGGGCAACAAGAGGCCACAGATATAAATTGGGATAAAGAACCAAAAGCACACTGGAAAAGTTTTTTGCAAGGTGGTTTGACGAATAGAATGAAGAGGAAGTACGTAGTGCTTCAACTGACCATTGCAAATTTAAAAAAAAAAAAGTATTTGAACAAAGTACTGATGCCAGGACACCATGAGCATAGGTCTGCTCCTTTAGCTGCACATAGGCAATACTAGTATTATACAATTACGTACTTGGATTTAAATTTATGCAAGTATGAAATTATACTGTTAATGATTCGTTTATGCTTTGTGATACAAGGCTTTCCCATTGCTTCATCCCCACTAAGGAGTGCCACTAATCCATCATTCCCATCCTTCTCATACACACAATGCAAATCTTCAAGAGTTAGTCCTGAATATGCCATTTTTTTGCCATACACCCGATACATACTTCTTCCTAATCATTGATCGAAAAGTTTCTGTTTTCATCTTGCATTGCTGAATCACAAATCCACTATCATAAGCAGATGTGAAGGTGCAGAACTTAGCATTACCATGAGGCCGAGTAGTATTGTATAACTCTTGAAGAAGTTTTGAATCTTCCACAGCATTGTGACAGTCATAAAACTTCTTAAGGAATTTTTCCACTAGCCTGTCTTGCTTGTATGAAACTAATCCTGGATACTCAGTTTTAAACACTTCTAAAGTGTCAACAAATCCAATTATGTGTTTCTGAAATTGTTTCACAAGATCTTCTTTGTCAATTGCATGGAAGAAACGGGTATAATCAAACTTGGCATTATGGGCAAAAAGAAGAACAGGAGATTTTGATTCCACCCACTTCAAAAAATTATGAACAGCAACTTTTCGAGCTTTTGCCTCAAGAGGATGGCCATGAATGGCAAAAACTCCATCATAAAATGTGATTCCTGTAATATCTGATACCTTAGGGACTATTAATTGGCTTGGAATGATATATTCATCAAAAATGTCATTTTTAGACACTGCAGCAATCTGTATGATATCACTATTCCATTTTAAGGATGTTGTTTCTACATCAAAAAAGACTTCGTCAGCTGTAAGTAATTCTGTCACAGCCTTAAGAACAAGCTGTTTTCCTGCCAGTAATTCCTTACGTGGATATTTTACGGGAATATCTTTTTCAGACATGTTTTCATTTTTACTTGAACTCAGCTTCTTCACATTATTCTCACAGTATTCTGAACCTTTCCTTTTTCTCTTGAGACAGATTGCCTGTTTATCAGTCTTGTGATACTTGCAATTTGGGTACATTATGCTCTGACATTGTTTCTTTTTCCACAATGCTGCTACAGTACTAATAAAATTCTTAATGATAACCAGTCAGTTCTGACTGTCTATTAACTGGGCAACTTCCTAACTCTGTAACTTGCAGAGACAACCGACAGCAGTGGTACCTGAAATACAAAATTAGAGGGTTTCATGAGCAACTACAATATTTTTCTTTTATTACAGAACAGTATATAAATTCTCAAAAAATTAAGTAGACTGAAAATTAAGGTTCCCACCCAAATGTGAAACAGTTACATAATTAAAATTAGTATACCAATTTTCAGATAGGTTGTTAAGCTACCCATACACATCTGTATTAAGTTATGAAAGTATTAGCAATATTATGTGAAGCACCTAAATTAGTTTGGGAGTAAAATAAAAAAAAAATGAAATACCAAATAATTGTATAACTTTAGATACCATGGTTAGGAAGGGGTGCAATACTTAGCTGAATCTTAATATGTCTGTTTATTGCTAAGTTTATTTTATTTGCCTATTTGTAACTTGTTTAGTAACAGTTTTCTTGTCTTAATATATAAAACTATATACTGTTATTAAACAATTACAGGCACATACTGTATCGTAGTTACATCCATGAAGAAAAATGGTAGACTGGATGCCACTAATTACATATAGGTCAGTCAATATCCATTGTTAGTTCTAAAATTAAATGGGGCTGAAAATGTTCAAGTAAAAATGTGCCTAGCAGTAACAATTATAATTATTATAATAAAAAAGAAGCACTAAACCTACTAGGGTCATACAGCTAGCAGAAACATTCTAGTTACTAACGGGTTTCCAAGGCTCTTACTCGACTGACACTTTCTAAAAGCATCTTACTGACCATATATAGTGCAAAGAAAAGAATACTTAGTGTAGGCAATGCTAACACTTCTTTTATGCTAAAATTTTTCTCAGCGGCCAATTTCTCGAAAATATTGGCTGCCCTTCCGATTTCATACACTGCCTACTCACATGCTAAATGGACTTTCTTCTCTCTCAAACATTCTTTTGTGAAATCTACTGTTTCTTTACCTTCCCTATATTTCCAGTCTCCTAAATCTTAACAACATCCTCCATTCTTTTGACACCAAACTTACCTTTCTCCCATCTATTTCATAGCTCTCCTCCTGTCATTGATGCTTCCGGAATCTACTACAATTCCTAATCTTGGATACATCTCATCACAGAGTACATCTTAACATTACTGGGAGGTCATAGAGCTGAATCTCTTATTATTATTACAATCAACACTAAGCGCTAAACGTACTAGGGTCAGTCTCTTGCTACTTACTGACCGCTGCTAACGTGAACTCTTTACGTCCTACACACTTACCTGGTTTAAGGCTAGCAAGGTTTGTTACACAGTTACACAGATTTAGGTGACTACAATTAACATATATAATAAAATGTATGTAAATTACCTAAGATAACCAAAAAAGTCAGGCGAAGTGGCTTATTTCCACTGAAGTGCTGACGGATGATACTGTTTTAACCTTTCATAATAACTTAGCAGTGAGCGCCACTTCTCTACCACTCATGTAACCACCTCTCTCATTGGTCAACAGCCAAAAAATACATACTTTACAGCCAATGAGCTTACTTCTCCGCGTAATCAGCCACCACCCCCAAGGTCTTATGATGCTGGTGCAGCGCTGTATAGCCCTTGTGGCTAAGTGCTTCTTTTTGATTATAATAATAATAATAATAATTATGATGATGGTGGGGCTCTTGATCAAAGGAAGTGGATCTCTTCTCGCTTGTTATAGGAGTCTAAAGGTTTTTAAAGTGAAATTAGCAAAAATGTATTCCCCACATTCATCACTAAAGCAAATGGTGCTAATACAAGATAGATAAATAAATAAATGCAAGCAACCATTTTATTTATTTATTTATTATAAATTTGTGCACACATACAGAGGTACAAAAAAATACAGATAAGAGCAGTATGCCAAAGCCACTTATACTATGCATAGCATTACGGGCTGGCTTAAAATTAACTTAAGATTAACTAAGCAATGATGAAGTCAGTGATAAAACATTAATGTAAACAGATTACTATAAAGCACAAGTGAGTATTACAAAGACAGGTCATATGAAGGATTCTGTTAGGTAGTGTGTTTAAAAAATAATAAAGTTAGATTGGGTTTTAGGTTTAACATTTATGTGATATAATTGTGAGAAACATTTAAGATATACAATTTATAAGGTTCAGTTATTCAGTATTTATTTGGTTTTGGGTGAGTAAGTGATCTTTGAGTAGAGACTTGAATTTATAAACAGGTAGTGTTTCTTTTATATTTACAGGTAATGAATTCCAGATTTTAGGGCCTTTTATGTGCATTGAGTTTTTGCATAGTGTGAGATGAACACGAGGAACATCAAAGAGTGATCTGTGCCTTGTGTTATGGTCATGTGTTCTGTTGAGGTTGGCAAGGAGATGTTTGAGGGGAGGGTTAATATCAGAGTTAAGTGTTCTATGTATGTAATAGGTGCAGTAATAAGTATGGATGTTTTGTATGGTGAGTAGGTTTAGTGTATAGAATATTGGTGGAGTGTGCTGCCTGTAGTGAGAATTTTGTTATCATTCTAACTGCAGCCTTTTGTTGGGTAATTAGTGGTCTGAGATGGTTAATTGTTGTTGAGCCCCATGCACAAATTCCATAGGTGAGATAGGGGTAAATAAGAGAGTGATATAGGGCCAGGAGGGCTGACTGTGGAACATAGTACCGTATCTTCGATAGTATGCCTACAGTCTTGGAAATTTTCTTAGAAATTTGTTGTATATGTGTATGAAATTTGAGTCTATTATCAAGGTGGATTCCTAAGAATTTTCCCTCTGTTAGCTTTGTGATAGGTGATCCGTTTATCATTATGTTAAGAGGACATCTGTAGCTCTGTTACCAAACTGAATGAAGTAGGTTTTGTCAATGTTTAGTGTAAGTTTGTTAGTCCTCATCCAGGTAGATATTTTCTGTAATTCGGTATTTACAGTATTGGCTAGTGTGACTGGCTCGGGTGAGAGAAGACGTATGTAGTGTCATCTGCAAATAGTGTGGGTTTGAGTAATTGCGAAGCATTTGGAAGGTCATTTATGTATAGGAGAAAGAGAAGAGGGCCAAGGACACTTCCCTGTGGGACACCAACTGTAATTGGTTGCGCAGAAGAGTTTGCCCCATTTGCGTACACATATTGGCTTCTGTTGCTGAGGTATGACTTGAGGTAATTGAGGGAGTGCCCTCTTATACCATAGTGTGACAATTTTACGTGGAGCAAGTCATGGTCAACTGTATCAAAAGCTTTACGTAAGTCAATGAAGATCCCCAGTGGACTTCTTTTTTCTCTATTGCAGTGTATATATGTTCTAGCATGTGTATAATAGCATCATTAGTATTTTTATTAGGCCTGAATCCAAATTGGCAGGGGTTGAGTATGTTTTGGGAGATAAGGTAGGAGTAGATTCGTTTATGAATTAGTTTTTCAAAGATTTTTGAGAGAGGGTGTAAGTTGGATATTGGCCTATAGTTATTCAACTCTGTTTGGTCTCCTCCTTTGTGGATCGGGGTGACCCTTGCTATTTTGAGTACTGTAGGGAAGGTGGAGGATTCAATGGATTTGTTAAAGAGTGTTGCAATGATTGGAGATAGCACTTGTGACACTTTTTTATATATAAAGGGTGGTAAGGTACTTAAATCTCCTGCCTTGTTTTTTAGTGCATTGATAATAAGGGAGACTTCGTATGGGTTAGTCGGAGCTAGGAACAGTGTGTTCGGGTAGTTGCCGGGTGAGGTAGTCATTTGGTGGGGTATCTGAGCTTGGGATTTTATGGGCAAGGTTTTGTCCTATAGTGGAGAAGAAATCATTGAGTCTGTTTGCTGTTTCTGTTGGTGGGAGTTGGGGTTCATCTGATTTTGCTAATTTTATTTCGCTATTTCGTGATATCTTTTTTGTTCCCAGAATTTCAGATAGTGTTTTCCAGGTCTTTTTTATATCACCTCGTAAGTTGGATAATCTGTTCTCATAATACAATTTTTTTGCCCTTCTTATCAGGCTGGTTAGGATTGACGAGTAACGTTTTGTTTGGTCTCTGGTTATGTGACCCATTCTGTACTGTTTTTCATATTGGTGTTTTGTATTTATGGATTTGAGAATGCTGGGTGTTAGCCAGGGACTGTTCAGTCTCTTTGCTGTCATCTGTTTAGTTTTTTTAGGGCAGTGCTTGTTATAGAGGTATTGGGTCTTTTTTAGAAAATTATTAATACATTCGTCAATATCTGTATAGATTTCTAGCTCAGTGTGCCAATCAATGTTTGCTAATGCTGTTGTGAAGTTATTAATGGCTGCCTCATTGTGAAGTCTGAAGGTGACTTTAGTAGTGTCTTGGGGTAGTTTACCAAGAGTTGTTATGAGGAAAGTAGGGTAGTGGTCTGTGGTATTATCTGTAATTATGCCTGATTTTAAAGGGGATATGGTGTTGGTCCAGATGTGGTCAAGTAGGGAAACACTAGTCTCTGTAACTCTTGTAGGTTTTTGTTACTGTTGGTAGTAACATACAGTTACTCATTGTGTTTGTGAATTCAGTAACGTGTGGGTCCTGGTCTTGCAGGAGATTTATATTGAAGTCACCTGAGAGTAGTAAGTGATCTTTGTTCATGCGTGCATCAGTTATCATACTTCCTAGATTTTGACTAAATTGGCTAATGTTTGACTGTGGAACTCTGTAGATGTTTATCAATGTGAGAGGTTTTTGTAGGTATTTGGATTTGAATTTAGCTATTATATATTCCCCATGTTCATCCCTTGTGCAAGTATTAGTGATACATTCTAGTTGGTCTGAGTAGTATATGGCTGTGCCACCCCCTGATTTGGTAATACTCATTTGTGCTTAATTGTTATCTGTTTACAATAATGTTTTACCACTGAATACTTCATTGCTTAGTTAATCTTAAGTTAATTTTAAGCCTGCCCGTAATGCTATGCATTCAAGTGGCTTTGGCATGCTGCATTTAACTATTCTTTTGTACTTCTCTGTATCATATTCAAATTAATAAATAAAAAAATAAATAAAAAAATAGTTGGTTGGAGTAATAGATTGCAATACCACCCCCAACTTGGTATGGTCTGCAGTTGTGGATTGCTGTGTATCCTGGTAGTGGGTAGATATCTATGATGCAGGAGAAGGGTGTCTTTAGCGACTCAAGGAGTGCCAGGAGGTCATCATAGTGTTTGCTTAAGGACCTGATATTGTAGTTAACAACTGATAGACTTTGAGCAGTGTTCAGGATAGTGCTGGCTTGTGATGCTGTGTAATAAAGGCAGTTACTTTCCAATAAGCTTTGATTGTGTGTTAGATTATGGAGGTTTAGATCAGGGTCAACGTGATCATTCATCTTTTAGGTTTAAATATGGGTTATTTATATCCTGTATTGTGCGGTGAGTTCTAATACTGATATCTGTAGTAAACCACACAATAACCATAATCTGTAAACCATGCAATGTAATCCTTATAGAGAATAAACTTTGATTGATTGAGTGAGTGTAGGACAAGTCACACAGGACAAAAACCCCATAACCTAACTGGGGTTTTTGTCCTATGTCTGCACTTTAAATGAGGGAAGGCCTTTGTTCTCGGCTTTTATCTGGACACCTCAACGACTGTGGTTTTTTGCATGCACATAGTAATATCTTTTGTTTAACTACATAGAAATAGTACATTCATTCATTTACTCTCCAGAACCTAAAAAAACACACACGTACCAGTTACTAAATAAAAACCTGCCCTGGACGGCTAGTTATGGCGGTCGCAGCTTGTCAAAGGAACAGAAGACAGGATATAAAAATGACAGTGCGGGGGGGGGGGTGCACAGAGCGGCTGTTTACCTGGAGAGAGTTTCGGGGGTCAACGCCCCGCGGCCCGGTCTGTGACCAGGCTCCTGGTGGATCATCGCTGACAACCAGCTTTGCGCTGCTGCACGCTAACAACGTTACGAGCCAGCCCGCTGACAGAACCTGCTTTAGGTGCTTGTCCTGCCACTTAAGACTGCCGGGTCTGTGTAATCCCCCCTTGTGTGCTGGGGGCAGTTGAACAGTCCTCGGGCCCCTGACACTTATGTAGGTCTCTACGGCTAGTGACACCCCTCTTTTCATTGGGGGATCATCTCTGCCAAGTCTTTTGCCTTTCGTAGTGAGTGATTTCGTGTGCAAGTTCGGTACTAGTCCCTCTAGATTTCCAGGGTATAATCATTATCTCTCCCTCCCGCTTCCCAGGGAATACAGGTTAGAAACCTCACGCTCCCATAATTGAGGTGTTTTATCTCCGTAGCGCCCGTGAAAGTTCTCTGTACATTTTCTAGTCGGCAATTTCACCTGGCTTGAAAGGTGCTGTTAGAGTGCAGCAATATTCCAGCCTAGATAGAACAAGTGACCTGAAGAGTGTCATCATGGGCTTGGCCTCCCTAGTTTTGAAGGTTCTCATTATCCATCCTGTCATTTTTCTAGCAGATGTGATTGATACAATGTTATGGTCCTTGAAGGTGAGATCCTCCGACATAATCACTCCCAGGTCTTTGACGTTGGTGTTTCGCTGTACTTTAATTATTTTAATATAACAAATCCACTATAATTTATGGGAGTTTTTCGATCAATTCTGTTTCTCAACAGTTTTACTCTACAGTTTCTTAATATTGTACTGCCCGACTTATTTGCAAAAACTTTAGCATAGATATATCTTGTTTAAATTTAACTGAGTACATGTACATAGGTAAGTGAATTTGCTCCATAAATACTAAATCATATTCTATTGCCTCTGCTTCAGGTGTATATATATAAAGTACTGTGGACTCTGATACAGAGTTAGCAGGTTCGAGTCCTGCTGTGGACGTAGAGACAATGCTTGTATATATATATATATATATAAATTTTATATATATATATTATATATATATATATATATATATTATATATATATATATATTTTAATATATATATACATATATATATATATGGTATAAACCTTGGTAATAAATACCGACAATTGGTTTAGAAAGACACGTAAGCAAACACTATAACATATTTATTTAGGAAACGTTTCGGTCCTGGGACCTTGATCACTTCTAACTTACAGAGGTAGAAAGAAATTATATATATAGGCGGAGAGTGAGATGTGACGCACGTGACCTGAGGAATGTCTAAGAACATAAGAATGGAGGAACACTGTAGAAGGCCTACTGGCCCATGCGAGGCAGGTCCTTATCAAAACAACCTCTACCTATGATGAGGACCTCATCATAGGTAGAGGTTGTTTTGATAAGGACCTGCCTCGCATGGGCCAGTAGGCCTTCTACAGTGTTCCTCCATTCTTATGTTCTTATGAATCTAATTTATACAAACCTAAGGAAATATTCATATTATTTTCAAAACTGCTTTTTATGAAACAAGATTCAATTATGTTTCTGTCAACCATGGACTTGCTTGATACAACTTTCTCAACTTTTTGAAAATCAATTGGATGGTTAAAGTCTCTCACATGAATAAATAAAGCATTGGAATCTTGTCCAGTTCTAATGCTATATTTATGTTGTTTTAATCTAAGTACGATTATTATTATAATCAAGGGGGAAGCGCTAAACCCGGAGGATTATACAACGCCTGGGGGGGGGGATGTGGAAGGCATTCAGGCTTAATTCGGGGAACTGGAGCACAGATCCAATTCCCTAAATCAAGAGCCCCTCACCAACATCAAGGAACCTTCCTTGAGGGGCCAATCTAAGTTCGAGACTTTTACCAGTTTGACCGTAATAAACTTGATCGCAAATTTTACAAGGAATCTTTTCGACACATCCGTCAGCATTTTGGGGGAATTCTTTATCAAAAGTTTTTTTACTGTATCAAGATTTTTAAATACAACTTTAATATTG